AAGCCCAGAGAGCAAAGTGTAGTGGAGTCAAATTCCTTGTTTGTATGTACGAACTTGGCAATAAAGCTGATTCTGATTCTGACATAAAACCTGAGTTCATGAACAATATTCAGTTTAGTCTCAAATGTTATGTTTCGCTCTAAGAACTGTTGGTTAAACTGGTATATTACACAAATTCCCCCACCAAGATAAAATAACCCACTAGACTAAAATGGCTCATGGAACATAAAGAGCCAAAGCTGTTGATTTGGCTGTCAAACACTAGGTTTTTATCTCATGAAGTGTCACTGACAGGCCAAAATAGGCCTAGTCAACTACAGCCTCACATATCAACAAATGGGACCCAACAGTCTGGTGCCAAGTCCCACAATCCAACTCTCATGGGTCCAGTCTTTATGTCCACACAGGCTTTAGCAATTTTACACAAGCTGTTATAATTTATCAAAAATAAAATGACATTTAGCAACAGTTTTAAATTCCTGCAATCCCTGTTCTTAATCTAAGGTTAAAAAAGAATGGCTGCACAAATGAACATTCAATAGATCATACATCAATACTCTTGATAATGACTGTATACTTTGATGTAATGTTTAGTAAAACTAGCTAGATTTCTGAGTAAACATTCCACACCATGGGATATAGGCCTTGGTCAGGTCTTCCTTGGAAAAGAGATTTTATCTCAAAGGACTTCCTGTTAAAATGATGGTTAAAAAGGGTGTGGCGGTGATGGTGTAGGGGTGAGAGCGCGCGACCATGTGCAGAGGCTATGGTCCTCGAAGTGGCTGTCCCGGGTTCAACTCCCGGACCTGGCGACATTTGCCGAATGTCTACCCCTCTTTCCTGTCTGCCTACTGTCAAAGGAAAAATACAAAATAAAGGCCACTAGTGCCAAAAACATATCTTAAAAAAAAAAAATAAAATATGGTCAAATATTCAGCAAATGACACATACATTATTATTTATTTATTTACCACAATAACTTATTAGTATGGTGTAGGGCCTCCTTTTGCGGCCAATACAGCGTCAATTCGTCTTGGGAATGACATATACAAGTCCTGCACAGTGGTCAGAGGGATTTTAAGCCATTCTTCTTGCAGGATA